TATTACAGAGCATATTTTTAAAATGATTATTTTTTGCATCAATTAAACCTTTGATTTGATCTTTTTCAGCTGTCAAAATGATTGCTTCATGTTTACGAGGGCATAGAATCATTCTTTTGAGTGTAAGCATGTACAATTTATTTCTAAAGCATTTTTCAAGAAAAAAAAAACTGTTGCTCAATATCACAAGATGAGATGCCACATATAAAAACAAATACAAAAAATAAAAATAAAAATAAATCTTCAGAGTGTTCAAACATTGCAACTTGTTACAAGGTAAGATCAGAAAGATTTGGTCAGTAGACCACAAAGACCTGCTAGACCTGCTAGCTTTCCTGCTAAAAAAACGAATATTATTAGTTTGATTTTATTCCCGTAGGTAAAGGAAGGCTTACTGACTGTCATTATGACAATTCAAATTACACTTGGTGGATCATTTCTTTATTATATGTTATAACTGATGGTTAACGCAAATATCTAATCCGCCAATCATTTGGCAGCAACTCAAAGCATTTAGGCATGTAGACGGGATCGAGATGACCTGCTAAAGTTCAAACTGAGCATCAGAATGTGAAAGAAAGGCCTAACTCCATGGTATGGAGGCCTATCTCCCCCCACCACCCCCCCTGCCAGTGGCAGACGCCCTCAGACATCGGTGCATTGGTGGTTCTTTGTGTCCGGGGATGGGCATCCAGGTACCCACTGGCTCACTCCTGGTGGCTGCTTGTCCCCCACCCCCTTCGGGTGGGGTGCCCTCGGCCTCTCGGCCTGGGGGTCGGTCACTCTGGCACAGCTGGCTGCCGGCAGAGCTCACGGGCACGTCACTGCAACCCCCCTGGCTTCTGCTCCGCGGCTGCTGAGCGACCCCTCATCTGGGGCTCTCCTCAGCTCTTTCTGGGATAGTGGTGCGGCTGCCCCTCTGTTAGTCTTCCTTGGTCTCCTTTGCTCTTGGGGCCTCTGGATGTCTGGAGCCTTTATCTCCTCCATACCTGCTTCATGCCCTGGAGGATGGGGCTGTGGCTCCCCACACCCTCTAGCAGATCATTACATGAAGGAACCTTTTAAATACAAGCTCACAGGTGTACACACGGGTGCTCACACACACAAACTACACCCTTTTTGGCTGCTACCTATATTCACATAGATCATCGCTATGATGTTGTTTATTATATTGCTCTCTTTTTCTTTGCTTGTTTTCTCTTTTTTCTTTCTCAACAGATGATCCAGGTGATTGATATATGTACTTTTTGTCTGTTTGTTTTGTTGGTTTTTTGTTTTTGCCCTTTATCACGGTCCCTCTTCCCCACTCTTTTACTTTCCCTCTTTCTTTCTCCCTTTTCTTTTCCCCAGTCAAGTCTGTCCCGTGTTCAGCAAATGAAAATAAAATAAACAATAAAAGCAAAGGTGAATCAAATAGACCAATATGGCAAGGCTGGGATGGTCCATTTGGTAAAGTAAATCCGTCCGGCATCTTTCTTTGCCTTTAGACAACAATTCTGATGGCAAAAGAACCAAACGGGACAGGAAAGAAAAAAAAAGAATATGAAAGAAAGGCAATTTAGCAATTTAGGGAACTTTGATCGGCATGATTGCCGATGCCTGAGCTAATCTATATATTGCAGAAACTGCTGATCTGCTGGGATTTGCCGCACAATCGTCTCTAAGGTTTACAGAAAATGATCACCAAAGGAAAAAATAATTAGTGAGAAGCAGTTATCTGGGTGAAAATGCCTTGTTGATGTCAGAGGTCAGGGGAGAATTGCCAGACTGCTTCATGGAGATAGGAAAGTAATAGTAACTCAAATAATGGCTCATTAAGGCTGAGGTATGCAGAAGAGCTTCTCTGAATGCACAACATGTTGAACCTTGACCAAAATGGTCTACATCAGCGGAAGACCACACTGGGTTCCAACACTTTCAAGTAAGAACAGGAAACTGAGACTAAAAATTTTGGATGAATGCTGCCATCTAAGATGGCACAAAGCTCAAATCATTCCAAACTTGAAGTTGGCACTGTACTCAAATGGGCTCCAGTGTAATCAGATTTTGAGCCACCTTTGGGATGAAGTAGAATGGTAGATTACCATCATGCATGTGCAGCCAAAAAATCTCCATCAACTGTGGCATGCTATCATATTGACCAAAACCTTTGAGTATCTTGTCAAAGATACAAATATTTCAGAACGTTCTGAGTGCAAAAGCAAATCCAACCCAGTAGTAGCCAGGTGCAGCTAGCACTGTAGCCTGCAGGGTGTCCAGTGAATGAAGTTTATTTGGACATTAAGCCACACTCCAAAATCTATGAATTGCCCGAAAAAGATACCAAAGTACCAAAAAAGGGCAGCACAAAAACAGTCAAGCTGAATTCCACTGCCTTATTTCAGTGATAAATGCAGCTTCACCTAACAATTTGTAAGAAAAACAGAACCCTTCAAAGATTACCTTTGGTGCAGTCTGGCTGGTACTTTTTCCATGACATATAAACTTTCTAAAGTACCCCTCTCTCTCTTTGTACCCACACTCACTCACTCATCCTTCACTTTGTGACTCTATCTGGTAATCTGTGCTGTTGGTTTCAGAAATGGTTTTTACTCTCCTTTCTTTTCTGCTTTTCTTGAGGTTACTCAAAATAACATAACTATCAGTTGCTGGTTTCTGGGTTTGCCTGTCTGCTTTCTCAGTCACAAGTCCTCCATTTTTTCACCTTTCTGACAATAGCCTCCATCTGTGGAGGATGAAAGATTGAACTTAATATTGGTCTGGTGACTACAGTGGGCTTCTTTGTACGAAGTAATAGTGCTCAACCCTTCCCTGCTGTACCTTTCTTTTCCATCTTAGCAGTTACTGCTAATGAACCAGTTCAAACTGGTGAAGTTCGTCATGTTTATCACTGACATGTTCCACATATCAGGATAAACTGGACAAATTGGAAATTAACCTGCATCGTCTAACATCTCAACGTGTATTTTTATGCTTTGTGGAGTGGAAATATGACTTATTTGGTTTGGTAGAAAATTATTTATTTATATTTTTAAATAGGCATCACATACCAGTTCGCCTATCTTTATGTTTTATGTAATAGCCTTATAAAACTCATGGTGATTTGTTAATAGTGTAATTGTCAAAACAATGGAAAACAACCTCACTGGGCACCGCTGCAGCTTTTCCTCTGTGCAAACATCTGTGGAATGACTCTGAGATCAAAGTTTGCAGCTGAATGTTTTTCTTCTCTCAGCTGGCAGAGTTTGACTAGTTCCCTAATAGAGACATTACAGCGTGTACAATCATTCAGTGCTTCACATTTTTCACACATAAATGACACACGTATGAGATACATACACACACAAAGGTCTCTTCTAGCATTAAAAAACTCACATATTGTTCATCTAAAAGTTAAAATTTTAAATGTGTTTACATAATTTTTTTTTTATAAAATTGCCTTTATGGTATTTTTAAACCAGAAATAATATAGATAACAGTGTGCAAACAAACAAGATGTATAGTCCTGATTTATGTACAGAATACGAATTAGAGACATGCTTATATTTAACAAAAGTCTTTGTTTCATATAAGGACGAGTACTATTTTTTTCTTCATTTATTGAGAGACGCAGATTCTAATTTATTAAAGACAAAAGAAAAAGACTGTAACTGGTGAAAGAGGTTTTCCTTTTTTTAAGTAATATCTTAATTTTGAAATGTTGGAGATGGAAAGCCAAGAAAAAAAGTGCAGAAGCAGATTTTCCCAATCATCCATAGTAAATGTTGTGTGGATATAAATGTCGTGTTACTTGTAAACCATGTGCAGAATAATCACAGCCACATGCCAGACATAGTTGTAAAAGTCATTCAGTCAGACAAATAAAAGTGGACAGGAGCAAGCCACTGTTTCCTCAAATTTGGGAAAATACATTAATTAACCCTTTACATAGTTGAAATGACCTAATGCTCACTTTAGATAATCGTATAAACAACAGTGTTCAGTGTTACCGCACAAGGACATAAGCTCTCCTTCAAAGTTTGTCACTGACCTGCCTCTCTGCTCTAATGTTGGCCTGCACAGCCGGAAGCACACGCTGCTGCTCTTGTATCCTCTACTGTATCTATGCTTCTGTATACAGTATGCATGTTCGAGGAAGTCGCATGTATGTAGCCTGACTGCTCCGCTGTGGACCCGGTGCCCTGGCAGTACAGTGGCCATGTTGGTGTGGGAGCCTGAGGCCTGCTCCCATACATCCCCGCTCTGGTTTTGTTGATCCTATTGTCTCCTGCGTCACCACACGTCGCCCGGCAAATAAAGGCCGTCTGGCTCCAAGCTTAAATATTGCAGCAAACTAAAAACCAACCATCAGAGCCGATTCATTCACATCTGCTCAGTGGGGCGACAAGGACAGGGCTTTAGGTGGGAAAGAGGGCAGAAAAAAGTTCACTTTTCCCTGCTGGGTGCCAAGAGAACGGGACAGGACTCAACTTCGCCGGAGCCGCAGCTGTGGCAAGTTGCCCATTTGATTCGATTTATTATACATTTCAGGAAAAAGGGACTTTATTTTTATTTAGTGATCTCTTTTTTATTGGTTTATTTAGATATACAGTGTGTTATAGTCTGATAGCTTAGCAAAAGTAAAAGCTTGTAGTATTCACATTTGTTAACTTTCGTTAGTCCAGTTCACGATGAGAATATGCAGCCATTAGTACAGTTAAATCAATGCCTAGCTTAAAGGTTATTTTCATATTTGAAATTACCAGCAAATTGCTGTTTGTTGTTTACTTTCATCTTTCTGTATATTTGTGAATGTGTCCGTACAAATCAAATTTACGATCAAATTCTGGCGTTTGTTTGATTTTTAAATGTTTGCAAGTTTTTTCCTCTCATGCATAGCTTACTTTTGGCACCCTCTTTTCCCCTCCCCCTGTTGGTCCCTGCCTACCCCACCCTCCCTGTCCATCTGCACCCTTCGTGTCCCTCCCTACCCCACCCTTCATTCTGCAGTGCTACGGACCGATCATGGGTGACTGGAGTTTTCTGGGTAATATTTTAGAGGAAGTCAACGAGCACTCTACGGTGATCGGCCGGGTGTGGCTCACGGTGCTCTTCATCTTTCGCATCCTCATCCTGGGCACAGCAGCAGAGTTTGTGTGGGGCGACGAGCAGTCTGATTATGTGTGCAACACACAGCAGCCTGGATGTGAGAATGTGTGCTACGACGAGGCCTTCCCCATCTCCCACATCCGCCTGTGGGTGCTGCAAATCATCTTTGTGTCCACGCCGTCTCTGGTGTACGTGGGTCACGCTGTCCACCATGTCCACATGGAGGAGAAACGCAAAGAGCGGGAGGAGGCAGAACTTAGCCGGCAACAGGAGCTGAGTGAGGAGCGTCTTCCTCTGGCACCTGACCAGGGAAGCGTCCGCACCACTAAGGAGACCAGTACGAAAGGAAGCAAGAAGTTCAGGCTGGAGGGCACCCTGTTGAGGACCTACATCTGCCACATCATCTTCAAGACACTGTTTGAAGTGGGCTTTGTGGTGGGCCAGTACTTTCTGTATGGCTTCCGCATCTTGCCGTTGTATAAATGCAGCCGCTGGCCCTGCCCCAACACGGTGGACTGCTTTGTGTCTCGCCCCACGGAGAAGACTGTCTTTATCATCTTCATGTTGGCTGTGGCCTGTGTCTCACTGTTCCTAAACTTTGTGGAGATCAGTCACTTGGGCCTGAAGAAGATTCGCTTTGTCTTTCGAAAGCCAGCCCCTGCTCCGGGGCCTTCCCAAGGCGAGGGGTTGGCCCCCCTGCCGCCACAAGGGAAGAGCCTGCCCCCCCTGGCTGTTCCCTCTCTGCAGAGAGCAAAAGGTTACAGGCTGCTGGAGGAGGAGAAAGCTCCCCCCATGACTCACCTCTACCCACTGGCTGAGGTGGGCATGGAGGCTGGCAGAGGGGCCCCACCCTTCCAGGGGTTGGAGGAGAAAGCGGAGGAAGTGCTGCCCATGGAGGACATCTCTAAGGTGTATGACGAGACTCTGCCCTCCTATGCCCAGACCACTGAGACAGGAGGGGTGACATTACACGAGGAAGAGGCTGAGGAGGTACAGGCACCAGAGGCGGAAGCAGAGAGGGTGGATCTGGCTGCAGAAGAGGACATCGAGGTAGAGGAGGCGGTGAATGGGGAGGGGGCAACTCCAGCAGAGGCAGGAACGGAAGCTGCGGAAACGATAGAAGACAACAGGCCGCTGAGCCGACTGAGCAAAGCCAGCAGCAGGGCCAGGTCAGACGATCTCACCGTATGAACCTGTGAGACACCTGCACACACTAAAACGTTCAATGTGAAAGAGAGCACACACACCTATCTCAAGACAATGCACACTCTTGAACAGGCAGGTCAGAAACCAAATGTATGAAAAACAAAATCAACAGGGACTAAAACCTTTTAGGATTACCAAGTTACAAAAAACCCCAACAAAAACAAAAAAATGTTTGTGATAACTATGAAATATTAAAAAAAGAGTAGATTAGAAAAACAGGAGTTTTTTTTTATTAAGCGTGTTCTTATATTTAAAAATATATTGAAAGGACACATGTGAGGGAGGATGTTTTTACTTGACGATCCTTGTTCAATTTTTAGAAACATCTTTTCTATTGAAAGACTTATAATAGTACATACTAGAGGGATAGACCTTTTTACACAGGGTTTGAGTAGATAGGGGAAAAGGGGGGTTATAATATACTTGTGTGTCTGCATTTCAGTTCTATCGCCGTAGTTAGGCACCGACTTTCATTCCCATTCAGGCACCACATACTGCAAATGCAGCATGTTGCTGCAAGCCTTGCCAGTGAGAAGGCTCTCGCGTGGAAAATACACCTGACTAAATGTCGGCACATTAACGTGTAGCCTGCAAAGGTCTTTGTGAAGAAGCAGAACAAGTCCATTTTCAGGTTTTAGAAGAGCATTCCTCTTTTGCACATTCAGAGGTTTCAGCTCTATGCAAGGCCTTTAACCCTCACAACACCTCATCCATTGCATCCATGTACACAGGATTCTTTTGAGTAAACAGAGATGTGCATCAGTATTGGAGCGTTTCTCTCTTTTTCATGTTTATATACCAGGTAGCGCAGCCAGAGCTGAGTAAGTCCGGAATAAAGAAAAAAGAAAAAAAAAAAAAAACAGAAAAAAAGAGACCACATGTCGAATGTCTTTTTCAGTCCGCATTTCTTCTTTTTGAGATTTGCTTATGTTGTGTTGCCTTTAAGAGCGCTGCGTACTGTGATATCAACAGCCCGTGGAAGAGAGCAGAGCTTATTTTGCCCTATCAGAGAGTGAACTATAGCGGCGACCTCAAACCAAATCCTCTCTTTTCGTGCTATACAAACAAGCGTCCGGCCGATAAAGATCATGCACCATCAGCACAAAGTATTGTTGGAGGCGGGACAATAAAAGAAACCGTGCTCATCAATGAAAACAAGCATCCTTAACCTGGCTGTGGAGAAAAAAAATCTTTCTGCGTGATTTTATCCAAGCACAGCAGAGAACATACCCCTTAAGAAAACACAATAGTTGTGATATGCTTATAAATACAGAGAGAAACAACTGTAGGGGAGGGGGGAGTCCAGCTGTACATAATGCCCTATCACATGCCTAATATTGTACATAGTGTGCAGCTGTTTTTAGTTATTTCACTGTCCACTGCAAACACACATTCTCATTGTGACAACACTAATAATTTAATCCCACAAGCCCACTGTAGACAGAAAATGCCCAGCAGCAGGATCATACATCTATCTGAGTAAAGGAGACCCATTTCCTCACTATTACAAAGTGTGTTTAAGCCTTGGATTTATTAAAATCTTCTTTTTTACTCAAACCAATGCAACTGTGAGACTTCCAGTGCCTTTTCTGTAAGTGTTAATTATTGTAAGTGGTTTCATTGCTACGTAAACTTGATGTTTTACTTCCTTTTTTGTTTTTTATGATTGGTTTCATTTCTTTGTGACCCCTCTGTACACACAAACACCTCCACGTAACATCACGTCTCTGTAATATACCTACGACGATAATATAATGACTTTTATTTTAAACATGTTCAGATATAAGTGCATAAAGCTTCACGTTTGTGGACATTAACCCATTCATGCAAAATGAGCTGATGCTCAATCTGTGCCTCTATGCCACACATGTACATCTCACAGTGTTGGATTTGGGGGCACTTCACCTCCCATAATCCCATGTGGCAGAAACTGAGCCTTTAATGAACAGCCAAATTATTAAACACACATATAACAATGTTTTGCTCAAATATGCTGCTGGCTGTTTTGTACATCAATATGCTGGTATTGTATAGTTCTGTGTATTTTAAGACTGTTGCATTGCCTGTATGTTTGTAAGAATACATGATTAATCTTTGGAAAGGAGAAAAAAAAATCCTTTTTACTAACTTGTAGTCTTCTCTGCTGATAGATGTGTGGCTGTATCTTCTTTTGAAAAGTGAACCGACGCAATAAAAAGTCACACGTGGTCAAGACGTGTCGTGTCAGTGTTTCTCTGGGGAGCATGCACCCAATGACGCACACTGAGTGAAACAAGATACAACATCAAAACAGAAATAAGAGGAAGATAGAAACACAGAAGAATTCCAGTCCACCCCCTACACACTATAGATTTAGTAACTGTGTAGGGTGTAGTGGGTAGAGTAGTGGGCGATGTGGGCTTAAGTTTCAGCTTGTAATATTTGGTGTAACACAGACTTGTGCTTTTTCCTTTATACTGACTAAATGAAAATCTAACATGAAAACTCTATTTATTGCACAGTTCAAAAGTCTGTTATTCAGTTCAGATTTTCCAGTTTTATATTATCATTTTGATTTGCCTTTTTTTTAATAATAGATCAAAGACATTTGCCAATGCAGAAGCAGAAATATCAAACTGTGGACGTGCATATATTAAATAATAAAAAACAACAATGTATTTATCTTTTTCTTCTCCTTTCGGCTGCTCCGTTGAGGGGTCACCCGAACAGATCATTTGTCTCTCTCCCTATTTTACTCCTGCCTAACAGCTCCACAGTCCCTATATTCAAAGACCCTACCCCTCTGATATCTCTCTTGCTGTGTCCAAACACACCTTCTCCCTCTCCTCCTCTTCCTCGGTCTTTGATCAACAGCGGCACAGCTATCCATGCTGGTCAACAGCACTGATGGCAATTGCCCTTTCTTGGGGGCCTGCATTGGGCTTTGGCCTCCCGTGGAGGTGTTAAAACAAAATTATTATAATGCAGAACTTTCTATTTCAGAATGACACTTATTAAACCATTAGGCTGTATCTTAACACTTTATTTTTGCAGATGTTATGATTAACTAAAATATTTAAAAATGATCAGATGTAGTGGAGATTGTATACGATTGAAATGTAAGTATATAGGAGTATGTTAACGTTGCACTATGGTAAAAATGGCAAATGGCCTGTATAGCGCTTTACTAGTCCCTAAGGACCCCAAAGCGCTTTACACATCCAGTCATCCACCCATTCACACACACATTCACACACTGGTGATGGTAAGCTACAGTGTAGCCACAGCCACCCTGGGGCGCACTGACAGAGGCGAGGCTGCAGAACACTGGTGCCACCGGGCCCTCTGACCACCACCAGTAGGCAATGGGTGAAGTGTCTTGCCCAAGGACACAACGACCGAGACCTATACTCAAGTACATAGAATTAATTTCACCCATGACTACTTGCCATCCTCCCAGGTATTTGAGGAACTAGGAACAACATGACCCTAGAGTCTGCGACAGATAGAAAAGAGAAGCAATCACTATCAGATCTTAGAGTAACTGTTTCCCATTTTTACTTAATCTTCTTCTTTCTGGACGAGCAGAATACACTCATTCATTGTTCACAGTTTTTAATTGTCTCTAAGTTAAACTTGATTTAACCAGTCAAGTGATGAAAGGCTGTGAGGCACCACTAAGGGGCAGTATTGTTAAAATTAATTTTAGTCCACATGCCTGTTCTATGGCATAATTTTGCATGTGGTAATCTGAAGATCATGGCTTTCTGTCTACATTTTTATACTATTATTTGTCATAAACAAAATCTCTAACATCAAACAAACTTTAGATGAGGATTAACAGAAAATTCCATTTCAGAGAAACTTTTGTTCCCTCTACATCTTGCGGCATCTTGGGCTTCCTCTTGAGTTAAGATATAGATCTTGTGGTATCACCATATCCTGTACACCTATTTTGCAAAGTTAAAAGTTGTATTAAGATAAAAATGAGGGCTTGGTAAGGCTGAGGAAAGCCAAGTGAGACAGTCATAGCATATTATTATTTTACTACTTTAATAACAACCATGTAGTTCCACAGTGTTTTTCTTCAGTCAAGTGAAGTAAAAATGCCATAGCAACACAAGTTTGTTGCCATGCCATTTTACAGTAATATGCATGGTGGATCACCACAAATGGTTAGTTAGGTTTATATGAGCAGGCAGAGCAGCTTTTAGCTAAAAAAAGAAATTAGGCCACATAACAATTTACAATTCAGTTTTATTTATATAGCATTAAATTAAAACAGCATTTTAAATACATCAGGAACAACAGAGTTTTAAAACTGCAAGCGAAGTGCTCTAATGAAGGGATATGGTAATATAAGGTCATTAATATAAGATAGGGCCTGATTATTACAGACAAGTGACTTTTATTTGGCCTTTCAACCATGTGCAGTGGTACAGTACAGAGTGAAACGAGACAACGTTCCTTCCTGGTGCTACATATGACATATAACAGATGAACACAGGACTACGTAAAATGCAAAAGGGCAAAACAGTGGAAGACCGGATGGAACAGGACGATACAGACACAAGACAGTGCAATGGAAGTGTGCAAAATGCTATTCTATTGTGCAAAACGAGTGAGTATTGTGCAAAAAGTAGCTTGGTGTCTGAAGGTGTGCATGTGAAGCTTGGGCTTCAAGATGGCGCCAGTGTGTACGGCTTGCCGTCTGATTCTGTTTGTACTAGTGTTTTATTTTTACTTTGTTTTAAAACATGCTAACTCTCTGCTTGTATATGATCGTCAAATGCTGCTGGCTATAAGATCCTCTCAGTTAAAAACTCTTTATTGCAATCGTGGATATCAGGGAACCTTCTCCCCACCACTCCTGTCAGGAGTTCCAGCTTGTCTCCGTTGCGTTCCGGCGCTACCTCAACTGAGAGGGCGCCGTAGACGCCGTGGGAAACGCAGTGGCTTATTGGTGAGAATGAAGGCAACCTGGACACGATTTCGAAAAATACCTCACCCTATCCCGACTGGATTTGACCGCGTCAACTACTGGCACTCTTTGGACACGGCTTACACCTGCCTGACACCTGTTGTCGGGCTTACGACAATAACCCCGCGCCAGCGTCCCCCCCGTCTTCGCTCAGGTGGAGTAAACCCTCAGAATCTACGGCCGATAGGTCGGGCACCCACATCGGCTGCTGAGCCACCTGTACCACTGAGATTAAGTCTTGTTAATGCACGATCGCTA